TCGAAAACAAATTCTTGGAAAACAAATCACGCCCAAGTTTTTTTTGCGTTCGACAGGTTTACTTTGCAAATTCTTGCCAACAAATCTGGGAGTGTTTAAACCAACCTTTCATAATTTTTATACATCACATTTGAGGTGAAACAGTACTATTTATCATACAGACCTCGGACAGAATACGGTATTTCGCAATTTTTCAAGACAAGTTGCACTCAGGAATATTCATGACGATTAATCGTGGGCTTTAAGCGAAACCGTTCAAAAATTTCCAAAATCACCCATACAGCCAGCTGGTTCTCGTTTCTATAGTGCGAGCTGTCAGTGTGGTCGAGTGTTTGAATGAACTTTAATAGAGTTAAGTTCAACATAATAGCGAATTTATTATTATTATTTTTTTGTTATTTAACGGTTTCAGTTATAACGATGTGTAATCTTATAAAGCGTTTGATACGCGCGTCATTTTTGAGTACTCCTGCAAGCGATGCTCATGAACGATGAAAACAAACGGCACGAACAAGCGATTAAAATTGCAAGAGAGACTACTAACAATCAAAAAAAGAAATATAACTCGGTGAAACATTTACAGAGACAACAATTTTCATTCACGAAGACAAGTATTAAAGTGTCTCTAAACATCCTGAGTCTTTAAGCGTAAAGCTTAAGCCGGCTTCCCGGCGCGGTGTTTACCGTTTTCGAAGGTGAACTCCTCGAAGCAAGAAAATCGCTCAAAGTTTTCTTTCTACAGCCAAATTTATGACTAAATATTCTTCGGAAAGTTTTCTTTCTGACTCAAATTCTACAAACGTGCATAAACTTGCCGCATAAACTGTCAGCGTGAACTGTGCAAGACTTCATGAAATTAGATATAACAAAAACAAACATCAAATACAATAATTACTCAGGCTTACCATTCGAGATTCAGTTCCTGAAAGCTATCAAGGAAGGCCACAGTTGCTTTTAAACCCTCTTACGAATTAAGCAAGGTGAAAAGCGAAAACGATGCCATCCAAAAACGAGTTACCGAATTTCGACAAGCGACGCATTTCTCAACCAAAAACCCAGTAAACAAACCAGCCATGAATAACAGAAGACTCTTGATAGAAGCTGTATTTCATTTTGTACATCCAGAGGAAACTCTGTCAGCTTCAGCTGTCAAAGTAAACAACTTTCAAGATGCTGCATAATTTGTCCGCTTGAACTAACCTGTCAAATTTTGACCAATCAGAGTATAAAAATTGGACGTAGAGCGTGACCAACGCGTGACCATGGTAAGATAAGGTCTTCCCCGCCTGTACTATTAAAAAAAAACTGGCTGAATTTTCGCTTCCGAGGCCAGTTTGAAATCAAAGTCTTAATAGTGCGGGGCCATGGTGACATAAACACAACATATTTGATATGAATCCTTGGAAAAAAATAAACTTGAGCCTGCGATCATTTGAAACTGGTAATTTGTCAGCGGATAACTTCAAAAAATATTCGACCAAGATGAGTCCACACTTGAGCCCGCGATACGGTCAGGTGATACTGGTCAGCGGATGCCCTGTTTTGACAGCCGTCAATTGATCACAACATTGATGTGCAATTAGTTTTCTTTGGGGCTCCCAAACTAGCTAAAAGTGTGAGAGTAAACATTGGTTTTCCTGTGGTGCGGACGGACGGTCGGCGGTCCGTGTACGATCACGTGATTACCAAATTTTCTGGGATGGGTAGATTTACTTAGCTATGGGGCTCCGCCCAGTCGCGCGCGAAGCGTGCGCGTGGAGCTCCGCTAATATTGTTTTGTTCTTTTTTTTTGAGTTGAGTCAGGAGCCCATCAAATGGAGCCTCCATCTCCATTAATTTCTTGAGTCAACCCTTTCCCGAGTAGATTTATAAATAGAACGGCTTGTTTCCCGCGAAAAGTGTCATATCTCCGTGAGTCTCGTATGCCACCGTGAAAAAAATGAAGTTGGATGAAGTCGAACTCAGAAGTCCGTCCTTCGACCGTTTTCCTTTTTTACTATACGTCCATTTTTACAGTTTTACAGCCGCTGGGAGCTGGGATGAAATAAAAGTTAATGAATTACCCGACTGAGACTGAGCATGAAGCGATGGGACAAAGGCAGCGAACTGAGGATCACGGAAAGGTTCTTTGCGAGTGTTTGTTTTTGTTTTTGTTTTTGACGTCATACATCCCACATTTAAGCATGCACCTTGAAAAGAGTCGACGATTAAGCGTTCTGTGGACTATTTGAAACTTTTCGATGATCAGCCCCGAAAAAGTGCCAGGATCATTTGATTTTTGTTATCGCCGTGGAGTGGATTTCGCCAGTTAAGCACCGCGTGCAAAAGCGATGACCTAAGTAGCAGCTAAGGAAGAATGCTTCAGAAAAATTGCAGTCTTCCTTTACAACTGACTTGTATCACCATGAGAGTTGCCTGATAAAACTGGCACTTGAAAAGTTGAACAGAAGACAACAGTTGCTTGACCGTGAAGCTAACTCAAAAGTAATTTGCTAAAGCCGAGGAATTTGTGACATCGCGCTCCAGTCCAAAGACCCTCATCTCAAGAAAAACAAAATGGATTGTATCTGCGCCCAAAGAATTATGACTGACTAACAGGAAAATTTCTTAGCAATTAATGTAGAAGTTTAGGCCAATTCTTTCCTTCGAATTCGCATCTGTAGATCACTTTTTTGCGGGAAAACCACTGGCTGGGCTCGGCGTTACAAAACATAGCAGGGAATCATCACACTAACTGACGGACAAAACAACCACATTATTTATTCAGACAAACGCATTTCGGAGAAAAACTTTAAAAACTAGAAATTTGATTAATATTTAGTCATTTAGCCGAAATAAGAACCTTAACGTTAAAAAAAATTGGCTAAAACGAATCCTGTCAGAACTACAGACTGCAGGTAATAGTTAATCATTACGCATGTAACAGACCAGCTTCATGGCCTCTTATAAATGTGAGACAAGCAACCAAAATTAAGATTAACATAGTCAGAGTTTAAAACTCTCCACAGTATAATCTACCTGCTAGAAAGAAAAGAAAGAAAATCTCTGAGGGATGAAAACGCTAAAGTCACGTTTCACTAGTTTATGATTTTGTTTGGCCTGTCAGCACCGGATTTCCCGCTGTTTCATGAAGTACAATAGCAGTGTCATTTAGTCGTTGTGATTGGCTCTTCCCACCGTCGGCGCGCGAAGTCTCCCCTGCGAACTAATTATAAATCTACTCGGGAAAGGGTTGACTCCAAGGGCTTGTATGGGAGATGGAGGCTCCATTTGATGGGCTCCTGGTTGAGTATAGATGAATTATGACCAAACAATTATGTGTTAGGCGCTGCACTAGCAAATTGACTCAGTCATTTTAGGATATTTTTAAATAAAACTTTTATATTAAGTCTAGAATGATTGAAAGGGCTTCACAGAGTTGATTATATGAGGGCCTATAATTTAATCCGAACGCATTATTTTGGGCAAAAATTTGAGTACTGCTTGCGTGCGTGCATGGTAACCCTGAATTCTGTGAATTTTCATGCGTCAACCAAGACGATCGATTTATTGATATCCAGTGTAAATTTCGAAATTTGCATAACCCAGAAATTCGAGTTAGAACCAAACGCCACGTATTCGCTTTTTCGGTTACTTTTGGTAGGTCAAAGTTAAAAATAAGTTGGTTAAGTCCTGTTTAGCGTCGTATTAGTAATGATAAGTCAGAGTTTTACGATCGACAGTTTATCATAGCGAATTGTTGCAGATAAGTTTATCCCGTTTTAATTAGCTTTCTGTTTTGGTGGATCGGATTCGACAAGGAGTGTCAGTATACGATAAAACTTTTGGCCTCATAGCGAGGTCATCTCTCAATGTTATACCGTAAGCGAGTATCAGATCTAGATCTATTGCTCACAAGTAACGTATTAACAAATTGATCCATACAAGAACTCTCTCAAAGCATCGGAGCAGCAAATTAGATGGTTATAAGCCAAAAAAAAATATATTTAATATTTGGAAGGTTCATTTTTTGATGAACCAAACCTACTCAATAAATCTTTAAAATTTATGAAAATCCTCATAATGGCAGCTACTTCCTGATTGGTACGATCATCTTGCTGCATGTCCTGTTAGGCGACTGTCTTCCGCAGAACGGCAAAAGCGATTAGACTTTTGGCCTCATGCAATATAAAGTAACCTGATATCGTAAACAAATTTAACTCATATGGGAACCCAATCAAGAAATTGTGGAAGCAATTTATGTGGATTATAGTCCCGCCATAAATTCTATAAAAGGTGCATTTTCATCAACCAAACGCTATAAAATTGAAATACGTGTTAAAAAAAGAAAAACGTCTTTCCGACTAATTTAAGTCTACATGTATATGTACTGACAAAGAGTCATCGCTCAATACACAATAACCTGGTATCAGAATTGCTCACACGTGCGATATTAACCGATTTTTTCTGTGGGAATTCAGTCTAACCAAGCGTAGTCCTGCCTTAATTTCCTCAAAATTTTTCCTTAGAAAGTGTATTTCAATTAATGAACTAAGCACACTTTGTAAACGTAGAAAAATAAAACAATTTTCATTAGGGGAGCTTGTTTCTGATTCGTAGAATAATTGCGAGGCCTTAGGCAAGAGTATGGTTTTCTCTTTCCCGCTCTCGATTGGTCCATTGTTTAATTTCAAGTAGCCATCCCTAAAATGCTGGCTTGATAACCAAATAAAGTAATTCGAACGTCCACCTCCAACTAAAAGCATTGGAAAAAAACGACTTTTCTTTATTCAGATAATAATAATCGGTCATTCTATCATGAATGGACCGTCATCAAGAGATCCGGAATTCATTTCCATCAAAATAAAGACACACTTCAAAAACTTACACCTGGCAAACGATATTGTTTGTTACTGACGATTAATCTTGGAAACTGCTTTGGCAAGTCATTTATCTGTAAGATGCAATCAGGAGTGTTCTTTTAATACACCTATATCATACAACGTGAAGTTTTGGTCGAGATGAACAGCATTAATACAAGCTTCAAAAATTCCACTGAATGGAACGTCCAAACAAATGACTCATGCTTCTATCTGACTAGGTTTCTTATTTATGCTCAAGAGCCTTTAAGAATTTCTTTTATTATCAATTGTGCGTTAAATGTATTCCTATCTATCACAGCCATTGTTGGAAATACGTCCATCCTATGGGCTTTGAAGCGGTGCTCCCCTTCACTCCGCCCTCCTTCGAAAGCTCTGCTGTGTAGTTTATCACTATCTGATTTGGCTGTTGGTGTCCTTGTTCAGCCCTTGTACGTCGTTTACAAAGTCGCCGAAACGAGCGATCAGTTTCGAATCTTTTGTATCGCTGGAATTGCATTCCACCTATCTGCCAATGTGTTTCAAGCGGTTTCTTTTCTAACGGTGACAGCCATATCGTTGGACAGGCTATCGGCGCTGTATTTACAGACAGCATACAATGCAAAGATCTACCAAAGGCGAGCTTGGATTTTGCTCTTTCTTCTGTGGTCTTCAACAAGTCTTTGGGTGGTCACATGGTTCATAAATATCACAATTTATCAGATATTTAACGTTACCAGCGTGTGTATATGCCTTGTAATCTGCGCATCGGCTTACATTACGCTTCAGATTCGCCTTCGAAAGCGGCAAACTGTAATAAAGTCTCGTTTTAGGAATCATGACCAAAATGAGCCAAAAGGAATTGTGAAGATTCACACACCACATCTTCATTTGTACCAAAGATCTGTGACCACGATGTTTTACATTTACATTTTGCTGATTCTGTGCTACGCACCCTACTGGCTGATGTTCATTGTTATACAAATAACTGGTAGGAATTCTACAAAAATTGCTGCCCTAAGTTTTTCAATGACGCTCCTATTCGCCAATGCGAGTGTTAATCCGTTTCTTTACTGTTGGCGAATTCACGAAGTTAGAAAGGAAATTTTAAAGATACTGGATAGAATAAGATGTAGAAAGTAACGTTAAATTATTAACTTCTAACATGATTTTAATGGGGGTTTTGACGCCATCCGGTGTCATTAGTTTACACCTTAAACTTAATGATGCAGGTGTTAACTCACGCCGTCAATTATAATTGTCAATTGCAAGGTCTAACAGTCTTTCATTAGTAAAAAGAAGACGCGACAATTTTAAACTATGCTGTTTTTCGTTTTAAAATGCAGCTTTCAATAGTGTGTCCTAAAGAAGGAATTCCGATTCCTTTTTCCAATCAAATTTTCTTGATCCCCGACCTAATACGATCCCCAACAGTAGCTCCTTGATCAAGGATTTGACTTTTTTCCAATTTTAAAAATTTCAGTTGTCATGTTAGCCACTCAGGACAACATTTTCAATTGATTCCGGCTGGCAATAATAATATAATACTTTATACGCTTTAATCATATTTCTTAGAACACCTTCAAATCTGATTGGCTATCAGCAGCCCTGATATTCTATTTTTTATTTGTAGGGAAAAAAACTCTCGAGATCCCTTGTATTTAATACATACATTCAAATTATTACAAATTATCTCAATTTTTGTAGTAGTTACAGTTGACTCCTGATAATTCGAACCCTCGCTAACTCGAACCTCGCGCTAAATCGAACCAAAGTCGATTTCCCCTGGATTTCCTTCTTACATTTATTGTAATTTTACCCTTGGTAACTCGAACCCTCGTTTACTCAAACCTTAGCTTCCGCTAACGCGAAGTAATTTTTGTTTCCCTTCAGATCATTTCTATACAATTCTACCCTCGATAACTCGAACCATGTTAAAACGCGTGACAAGCCGGGGAAAAAAACCGTGTACTCAAATCCGAAACATTGAATTTATTTCAAAACAACCGAGTCAGTTCTTTAATTTCTCTTTACTATTTTGTCCCTCCAATTCAAATTCAGGGTCCATTCCTGTACACTTTGTTGCTTAATTGCATTCCCTCCCCATCCATTTGCTTATTTCCTTACTTCCCGTTATTTACTTCAAACTGTCAATCACTCGAACTCCCAATAATTCGAACTTTTTTCGATTTCCCTTGAAGGTTCGAGTTATCGAGAGTCGACTGTATGATAAATTGGAAACAGCAGTTCAACATTTGTTTATCAGTAAACATATGAACATGTGGCAGATCTTGCTCAAGAGATGTTGAACAGTACCAAGAGAGAATAGTAGGACAGAGAAGGAAACGCACAGTCCAGTTCAGCCCTTGCGATATGTGAATTTCACCAAATTTATTTTTAGACCAATTAAAAGCTTCAAATTAATCTCAAGTTGGTTTCCATAGAGGTCCGCAAACTTTTATTCACTGCTGTCAAGACAAAATTCAACAGTCGCCATAATGATTGCATTTTGCATTCTTTGCTTTGAGAGGCGGTCGCCCGTGGACTTGGTGACTTTTCTAACAAACGATTGACATGTGCGGACGTCTTAGGACTTGAATTTCCGTTTAGAAATACACAAATCCGACCAACGCCCTACGATTCCCTCTCTTGACAGTACTTCAGGCCATGTTCAATTTTGAAATTGGAAAATTCAACATCGTGAAAGTTGAAGTCGTTGAACGAGGACAGAGATGAGCTCTATTTCGTCCAACATCCCTTACAAAACTTGGCGAACCGTTTTCAAGAGAAACAAAGACAGGCAGGCCTGACGTGGGCCTGACGTTGGCCTGGCTAGAAGGATGTCTTCATCATCGAGAAACTGGTGATCCCGCTAGGCTGGTCACCCCCCTAGCCGGGCCAATTCTGTTTCTCGTGTAAACGGTACTCCAAATTTTGTAAGGAAATGTAGGAAACGTTGGCTCACCTAAGATAGTTTGGATAGCGACCCTTTTGTATGGGGCAAGGTTTTTCTACGTCCAACAAAAGATCTTCCCACAGGATAGATAACAACTTTACTTCAATATATTTTATCTTCATCTATGTTTAAAGCTCAAATGTATCTTCGTGTTGGGTTTTCGTGACCAAAAAGGAATGATTATATGTTAAAAATTCTTTTATGCATATACCGCCCTATTTTCACCAAAACAATTTTATTGACTTTATCCCAACAAAGATTCAGTAAATAATAACAAATATCTAACTAGTAATACGCGAAAAGGAAACAAAGAGAACACATATAAATAAGGATTCTAAGTTGTCCCTAATTAAGAGAAGCTTAAGTACTTGGATTTATAGCAATTAAACAAGGCGCGAAGATTTATGTTTTCATGGAACACACCAAGCATTTAGAAATAGTGCTTCACAAAGGCGTATTGTTAAAGCATCCGTTTGTTGAATGAATTAAGACCCGTCAAGATAAAACCCTAAGATGAGAAAATGATGAAAAGTTACATTGCATAGGCTATAGTACCACGAATCAGCTGCACTCAAGAGACACACTCAAAAACTAACTAGTTTAAACACGACTATGATCCTTCGCACAATTGGCATTAATTAGTCATTCATGACCAAGGAGCCAAGGTTTATTCGTCTTCCTTTGGTAAATCAGTCGTCTCAGTTAGTGTCTCAAAAGACAAGGTCGCTCCTTCATTAACTATACCTTCACCGCGGTGGTTAAAGTCACTCGAAGATTTGGTGGATAAGTTGTCGTGATTACGCCACACTTTGCCTTCGTTCATTCCATGGTTCTGCTTCATTTGTTTTAGCTTGCAATTTTTATTGTTCTTCTTGCTTTTTCTTTTGTTGTTACACAAATCAAACTTTTTTGGACAGTTAAAAGCTCTTTTTGCAGCTTTCCTGAATTCCTTGCTCAGGAAAGAGCTTACTACAGGATTTAACACGGCGTGCAGGAAGGCTAACATGTCTACACAAACCATAAGAACACCAAAGGGGTCGTAAACTTTCATAAGAGGTACAACATGCAACAGTTCAATAACCGTAAAAGGAGTTAGACAGACGAAGAACACTATTACCACAACTAGAAGCATCCGGATGATACTACGCCGCATTTTCATGACGCTACAAATATCGAATCGTGATCTCTCACGATATCTCCCTACAACGTCGGAGAGTTTCTTCGAAACTTTCGCGTACGTAAAAATCAAGATCACAAGAGGGACAATGTACAACAAAATGAACTTGGGTACGTGATAAGCCAGAAAAACTGGCAAGTAGTCATCTGGGCGGCTCTGCATGCATACTTGTTGGCCCCGGTGTGACATTTCGACGGAACTGAGAAATAGTTGTGGTAGCGACAAGATTAACGAAGTAATCCACGCTAGAAAGATGAGTCTCCCACATCTGAATTTAGCTTCGTGGCCCTTGAATCGTATGGGTTGACATATTGCTAAGTATCTCTCAATGCTAACAATGGTCAAGCTTATTATAACGACGTAGTAAAATACATGCAGCACATAACGATGGACTTTGCAAAGGCCATCCCCGGATTCCCAAACGTCCTTGAAAATGGACACTCCTTCCAAGGGAGTTTGCAAAGCAAAAAGCAAGTCCGCTGCAACCATGTTGCAAAGCAAGTTATTGGTAATATTTCGTAGTTCTTTCGCTCGCCAAAACACGAATAGTATAGCTAAGTCCACGACGAAAGCAAAAACAAAAAGAACAACATAAGTGATAAAAGCAAGAGCGTGAAGCCAGGAAGGTAAATCGTCAGCATACAATTCTTCTGTGGAGCTCGGGAGACTTGTGGTCGAAAGCATTGTTGTTGCATTGCTGTTCACCACCATACTAATGTCGTTTGTTCAAAACGAATGATAATTCTAGAGCATCGGGACCAATATCACACACAAAATCAAAGTGAAGTTTCAGACGGCTTACCCTAAATTTTACAGTGGTTCGCGGTCTTTCGACTTGGCTCAGACTTCCAAACAACATGAGACACTCAATCGGCAGTGAAGCAGCGAATGAAGGACAACAGCTTCAGGCTAGACTTCTTGATAGTTCGCAAGGTTCGCTCTGCTGACAATTACGCTATCGTCACCTCCAAGTTTAAGTGTAAAGCACGAAACAGCTCGCTCCTTCAAAGTCACGGCACCAAACTGCAAATTTTAGCGCCAATTCTAGGGCAGATTTGTTTGCCGATGCCGGTCTATAAGCGCTCGAACGACTTCTTTTCGTTAATCCTAATGTGATATTAAGCGTGGGAAACACATGATTTACGAATTGAACAAATAAAGTTATTCACTACGGATATGATTCAGCATTGTTTTGTTTTAAATGCTTTGCCTCGGTAACCATGCATTAATTGCCTGCTTAAAAATAAAGTTCATCTTAACTTTGAATTACCTGTATGTCGACCTTAAGTTTACGTTTTGGCTGAAAACGATGTAAGAAGTTTAACTAAACTCATGTAACCTTACGTCCAACTAACAGTATGTGTGTGGTTTTAAACCAAACAAAAAGGCAGTAAGGACAACACGGTCAAGGGTGATTTAACTTTCATCATTATGATTCACTGAGTAAGGCAATATTGTGACGTCAATCAGCACTAAACGCTGATGACGGAACCCGAAAGAAATCTAATGCAGCGTCCACACTGACGCGTTTTCGCTAGACAAGGTTAACATCTGACGTGTTCACACGGGTTTGTGATGAAAATGAACGTTTTTGAAAATTACGCTGTCGAAAGTAAAGTCTTAAGGAAGCAGAGGTGAATAACCTCGTCAATAATGGGCAAAAACGGAAAATTCGAGGAAAAGCTGGGAACGTAAACTTATCACCAGATATGGATTTTTATGCCGTGGTGTAGAAGGTGGAAAACGCTATAAGGCAAAATACTTTTGGGGAGAGGGGGTTTGTCTGTCTGTCTGTCTGTAACTTTCTTTGTTTGTTTACCAGTTTTGTTTTCTTGTTGTTGTTGTTCTTTCTTTTTTACAAATAAATGGCAGAGATTTCGTTCGAAACATATTTGTGTAGAAGTAGTGCTGACAGTGTAGTAGTAGTAGCAGTAGCAGTGAACAGTCAGTGAGTCGTCGTCATACTATAGTAGTTGAGTAGTAGTAGTAGTAGTAGTAGCAGTAGTAGTAGTAACAGTAGCAGTAGCAGTAGCAGTAGCAGTAGCAGTAGCAGTAGCAGCAGTAGCAGTAGCAGTAGCAGTAGCAGTAGCAGTAGCAGTAGCAGTAGTAGTAGTAGTAGTAGTAGTAGTAGTAGTAGTAGTAGTAGTAGTAGTAGTAGTAGTAGTAGTAGTAGTAGTAGTAGTAGTAGTAGTAGTAGTAGTAGTAGTAGTAGTAGTAGTAGTAGTAGTAGTAGTAGTAGTAGTAGTAATAGTAATAAATTGCTTTATTTGCATGACCGCATCACTTTACAGTATTGCAAAAGCATGTATATGACAATCAAAATAAAAAACAAAACAGCACTAATAACAATCTAGAAAAATTCGGTTACATTACTAACAATGAATCACGTATTTTCATGCAGGAGGAGACAAACTTCATAACTAACTTATTTACATGATGTTCCTTCGAATTCATTATCAGTTTTATGCTTTCCGGAGATGATTTCTTGTCAAAGTCAGGTATTATTCGATTGATTTGAGTAATAAATGCCTGTCTCTGTACTGAGTATTTGTTACATTGAAAGAGGAAATGAATCTCATCTTCTACCTGATTTGAGTTACATAAAGGACATAATCTATTTTCTCTTGGCAAATGATCGATTTGGTATCGACCATGTTCAATCATAAGTTTGTGATTACTTATTTTAAATTTAACAAAATTCTGTCGTTCGTCATAATGTCTTAGCTGGTAGAGATAATCAGATGTAGAATATTCATCTTTAAAAGTTTTATAAAATTCTAGTTTTTTTGAATTTTCGAGGCTGTGCCGCCAAAAAGATAGATATTTCTCTCTCATTTCTGTGGTATATCGTCTAATTTTATCATTATCTAGAGATTCAGCATCTAAACTGGTTAGATTGTATTGTTCAAGCATGTTTATGAAATTGGAAAAATATCCGGAATTATTCATAGAATGTAGATTCTTTGACATAAGGAAAGACTGTTTGACTATAGAGTCATTATCTTTGTTGTTGAGGTAAACAGTAGTAGTAGTAGTAGTAGTAGTAGTAGTAGTAGTAGTAGTAGTAGTAGTAGTAGTAGTAGTAGTAGTAGTAGTAGTAGTAGTAGTAGTAGTAGTAGTAGTAGTAGTAGTAGTAGTAGTAGTAGTAGTAGTAGTAGTAGTAGTAGTAGTAGTAGTAGTAGTAACGTAGTAGGCCTATCAGAGACAAGATTCTAAGTACCCATACATACATATACATTTATTTGATAAGCAGGTTTGAAATAAGCAACTGTACAGCTGATGTGGACCGACTACTACTAAGTCTAGATACGAGAACAAAGATTTCTAATACAATTATTTAAGATAAAAAGACCAACCAAATAATTTTAAAATATCTAAATTCAGGGTTCTTATTATAATTTGCTGAGCATTCGTTTTGAAAACTGATGTCCCTAAGGTAGGTCTTGATCGATTTTAACTTTCTGTTAAAAGAGTGAGGGTTCTCAAGCTGTTTGATATGTTGCACGCAACATATTAAAAGTAAACTTACAGTTTTAATCAAAATGAGTTTTTCTATGTCTAGTCTCAGTAATTTGACTAAGACACCTCTTTTTGACTTTGTTCATCAAAATGGGCAAATGGAACGATCGGTTGATGACGAGTCACGTTTCTGCAGTAGGTCTTGGACGTCTCTAAGTAAACAAATGGATCTTTCCCGAATTCGTGAAATAAACTTTGGTTCACATATTTGGCAGGTGCCCCCTGTTGGATGATTTGAATAAACTCTTGCCAAGCCTTTCTAGTTCCTCTAAGCGATCTTGGATAACTGCGATGTAATCGGTTTTCAACGGTCACTGGAAAAAACAGCAGCGCTTGTCCACGAAATTTCAGCTCCACTGCTGAACAGACATATTTGTCGGTAAGCCACCAGCTCACTCTTTCGTGTGTGGTATCAAGTGGGAAAATGTGGCGAGCGGCGCGCGCGTGAAAGGCGTTAAACAGAGGGTCAAAGAAGATCGTTGGATTGGCCACGGAGGTGCTGTTGGTAATTCTACAGTTGGTTTTGATCTTGTTTCGAACTTTCTGCCCTTCTTTTTGCTCCTCAAAGTCAACAACACCAACTGCTGGTTCATAATCTAAAAGCCAGTCTTGGAAAATTCGAATTGGCGAAAAATGTTTCATATCCGGGGTGGCAGCACTGTTAAACTTAAGAGACACATCGTCGTCAGTGAATATGAAGTACGTATAGCCTGGCCTTCTGTTCATTGCAGCAAAAAACAGCTTATTTCGCCCCGAGCCCCAAGTAGTTGTATTGTCAAATAAATACGTTACATGGGGCGGTCTCTCCTTCTGACATTTTATCTTATAGCTCAACACTATAACATCGCATCGACAGGTTATGTTAGTCGACAGTTTCAGATGATCAGACAGCTTTGGTGGGAGACACTGTTCTGTCTGCGTAAGAAAAACAAATGGTCGTGAAACAATTTCCTTTTCTGTCCAATTCGTGTCAGTCCAAAACAGCTGAAGCATACGTGTATGTAGATCGAAGAGATGCGTGTTCAGTATGAAGAAGGAAATAATACATGTCACAGTTAAGAAAATAAAAGCTAAGTAGTGGCGAGCCATACTTAACAGAACGTTGGGGGCCTTGCGGTACAATAGAATGAAATTAAGTTTAAACAAAGCAGAGGTTATACTCGATTTTGAAACGTTTACATAGTTTTAAATTGCTAACCTGACACTCGGCAACAATTTCATTTCAATTAACAACCTGTATTAAAGACCTTTTCGCTGAAAATAAGCATGCCCGAATTTTCATTTATTATTATTATTATTATTGTCTCTATTATCACAGTCTTTGCTGGTGTTCGTTTTGTGCATCAGCCGGGCGCAAACCATGCACCTAGAACGTCAGTCACTCAAGTCAATCATTCTGTTCATACACTGAGCACCTTTCTGAGGATTCGTGCAGATCCCAGCATGCAGATCTTTTGAATGTCTGTCATATTAGCTCTTTCTGATACTTTCTTGATGTTTTCTACCATACCCTTCTTCACTGTACCAAGCGCACCAACAACCACAGGGATCACTACGGTTTTCATATGCCACATTCTCTGTATTTCTAGTTCTAGGTCTTTGTATTATTATTATTATTATTATTATTATTATTATTATTATTATTATTATTATTATTATTATTATTATTATTACATTTATACTTTCCTCCGCCTACGTGGCGTCAAAATTCTCACACCGCCAGCCAATGTTTATTTTGACTATTGTTTGTTTCATGTGAAAGATCAGTAAATTCGAGAGCAAAATCTAAACAAAGCAAACAAAAAACGATTGAGTAATATTGAAAATTATTTTCCGTTGCCTAGCAGCCTGAGTAGCTGGCGGTATTGTGTAGTAGTCGAGTGAGATTTAGCGGTAGCCTGCGTAGCATGGCGGTTTTGTCGAGCCGGGCGTAGGAGCGGCGTAGCCGCGAAATTCGCGCGCGAAGAGCGCGAGAACGAGCGGCGAAGCCGCGGGAAAAATAAAAACCGCCCGCCCGGATTCGTGGCCTTTTCAACTGCCGCCCCCCTTCAACTCATTTTGACATCCTGTTGACAACTTTTTTGGTTTCAGTTTTCCCAGTCAATCAGAAATAAAGTGTTGACAGCCTAAACACGACACAAAAGCTCGTGATATAGTGTAAAACGTGACCTTGGCCGGAATTGGAGTTTGCTTGAACAAACACAGGTTTTTTCTTTGTGGCTATCTCGCGCATAGGTGACTACACTGCGTTCTAAACTTGACTGAGTAGATCTTATTTTTGCTGCACTAAGTCTTACATTTATTTAGAGGTCATGAAGTTGGTTTGTTTAATCCGTATTGAGTAATTATTTCCTGCGGTTAATGTTAGTGTTGCTAATTAGAATTTGTTGATCTCAGATGCAGTTGTAAAGTACTAATTTCTTTGACCACTCTTAAAGCCTAAAGCTCCTTGGTTTGTAGTTTCTTTGTCCGTGAATGTTTTGACGCTGGGCCCGGCTTTTTAAGTGTTGTTTGCAGGATGTTGTATTTTTACGTATAGCGCGATCTTCAGATTTGAGTTGTAGCTTAAACTTAAGCTACACCAAGCAAAAAAGTATGGAGAATTACGCTGTGCGTCTTTCTTCTACTGTATGCGATTCATCGACCACAATCGCGGACACCGTTCGATGTATTGAGCTGGAGTGCGTTATTCTCTAACACCGAGTAGTAGAGAAAATTGAGGGGAACTGTCTCGAAGCACTGAAATTTACTGTTTCTGTCATAAGGTCCATTGCTGTACAGCTCAGCGACAACATTTCAGATATCTGGTCGTCGATAGTACTTTTTAGAGGGGAAATTGTGATCATACATGTTTTCGATGAGGATATTTCTTCTTTGGCCATAGCAAAGACAGTAAAGATCATGCTCTTACCAAACCTTTCCATGACATCTCTCCTTTGAAGAAAACTGTAAATGGCCATTTCCTGTTTAGGCTTCAATACAATTGCCCTGTTTTCCCGTCAAATATGCAAGATCGACGACGCTCCGGTCAACGCTTCTTTGATATTTTGATTTTGTTTTGCGGAGATGATTTGTTCAGTCCCTCGAAACTCTCCCGTGGGAGATTACCAAAATATTTGATTGAAGGGCGAACATTCCGAACCAATCGGAACGATCCGTACGCTGGCGTACGAACCGACTCAAAAAAGCCCCCTGTCCGTGCAGGCGGTTTTTCAAGTTGCTTCCGCCCCAATCTCCTCGCGGTTTCTCTGCCCTCGCCCGCCTTTATTACTTAGCGCGCCCAACCAAAACCGCCATGCTACTAATTTAGCGGCGGAGCCGTTGTAATATAGTCGAGTGAGAAATATCGCCTGCCAGAATGCCGCCCACTTTTGTCACCTTAGCTGATCCCAATTAAATCAGTCAATCAAGGAGAAACCTGCAACTTGAAACTTCCGATTATTTTCGCGCGAGACAGTTTAGAAATAAGCGTTGGCAGGCTAAGCACGACTCCTAAGCTCGTGATAATGTGAAACGTGACCTTGTGAGTTTCCTGGAACAGAGGTTTTTTCTGATTTTCTCGGCTCTCGAGCGAAGGTTACTAGTACTACACAGTGTATCATTCTAAACTTTGACTGAGCAAAAGGTCATGAAGCTGGTTTGTTACATGCATACCGAGTAACCATTTCCTGTGGTTTATTCTTCTGTAGGTGTTCCTGATAGGATTTGATCTCAGATGCAGTTGTAAAGTGTTTTAATTTTCTTTGACCTTTGTTTCTCACGACTAAATAAAGACAATTCCAGCGCTGTGAAGTTTAAAGACGCCGTTTCGGCAATTTGGTCATCAATTATGCTCTTTTTCAAGGGGAAACCACAATCATTTACGTCTTTTCCAGTTTGCCATCTGCTCCCTTAATTGGGAAATATATGCGAAGGATCATCTAACACGATTGACATATGTATGGCCCTTGACCAATCCGTTTCTCCGCACACTGGTGTGCGGACTACAGTGAAACCTGACACCGGACACCGGACACCGGACACCGGACACCGTATTAAGCGGACACCCTCTATTAAGCGGACAGTAGCCGAAATCCCCAAATTTATTTCCTTATTTACTTTAAATGAAACCTTTATTAAGCGGACACCTCCTTAAAGCGGACGCGGACACCTGAAAAGTACCTAAAAAGGGCCATTTCTATTGTTGCCAACCTGTATTAAACGGACACGTGTAATTAAATTCCACCACCCAACATACCAGACACCGGAAATGCGAAAGATTGCCTCGAATTGCCACCCACAAATTTTTCGATCTTTACATTAAAAAACGCGACTTGACGACTTTATTTGATTAGTTTCACAGTACCGGATTGTTTTCTATTTCGTTTTGTTCGTATAGAGCTTGTTTCACTCATCTGATTTCTTCAAATTTGAGTTGCAATCTATGTTTATGGTACTATGATCAATTGGTTCACTTTGATAAAGAAATTAATGCAAATGTCTACTGTCATAGTCTCTGGGAGTATTATAAACGCTTCCACTGTTCATTTGAATGGCATTTGACACCTCATATGACGTTATATATCGAAACCTGTATTAGGCGGACGCCCTGTATTAAGCGGACACTACAGCATTCCCCGATGGTGTCCGCTTAATACAGGTTTCACTGTATTCAAAATACCTGGGTTTTCTAGCAGGCGGTATTTCAACCGCCTCGTCCCTACTCCATTTTTTTTGGAACACGGCTGCGCCGCCAAAACTTTAATCTCGCATCCACACAATACCGCCAGCTACGCAGGCTATTGCCTAGCGTTGGGGAGAACTGAAATAGACGGATCTGAATTAGTTATTAGAGCTTGCCAAATAATGGATGACATCCAGGATGTTTTAAATAGCTTAAATAAGTATGTTTTTGCCTGTCCCAACTCGAGTTTCCTTTTTGTGCGTCGAGGAATTTATATGCATGTACAAATTCCAAGATTTTGAGCCTGGAGTGCACAAGCAATGAAAGTGATAGAAGTCATTAGTATTTGCCATTACAGTGGAACCCCGCCTTACGACCACCCCGTTTATAAGACCACCTCGTTATTACGGCCATATTCTTTCAAACCAAACGTAACAACCACTGAGTCATTTTATTATTTTGAAGACCCCGTTAATGCGACCACCTCGTTATTACGACCAGGATTTTATGGCCCAACGGTGGTCGCATTAACGGGGTTCCACTGTACCAAATTGGTGCATAGTAATTTTCGGACGTTTTGATTGGCTCCCCGCATAACTAGGACTGTAATTGTGATTGCCACCGATACATGAGCACCCAACGACGGTTTCCTCCTAAATACATTGAAGACACTTTTTAGGCTATCCAGAGCAAGGGATGGGGCAGTGGTGAGAGCGCTCGCCTCCTACCAATGTGGCCCGGGTTCAAATCCCAGCGTCGACGCCATATGTGGGTTGAGTTTGTTGTTGGTTCTCTCCTTTGGCCTAAGAGGTTTTTCTCCGGGTACTCCGGTTTTCCCCTCTCCTCAAAAACCAACATTTCCAAATTCCAATTCGACCAGGAATCAGGTAGACGAAGAACCACTTTGTGGATGTGCTCCCTCCAAATCATTATTTATATATTTATTTATTTACTTACGTTTTGACCTCTAGAAATGCCTTCTAAGCAGCGGTATAAAATTTTTACCTGCTCGGTCATCCTAGCGGAACTTGAGTCTTTTCGAAATTACAAAGGCTTCAGTATTTTTTCTCCGAAAATTTTACAGGCAATGTAAGTTATTACGAAAGTGAGAATTTTTTCTGATTGGTCTCTCCATCACATTTTTGAACTCGAAAATTTTAAGTTCCCTTTTTTGTGCGAAGAATAGCCCAACCTGGTGAGTGAAATGTGAAAATTAAACTTCAGAAAATCGAAGGGAATTTATTAGAAAAGGGCCGAAGATTGTACATGAATGAAACGGTCATTTGTCCTCAAGTAATAGAAAATTTCTAGGCAATTTTTGCTTCTTCGA